TCTGTCTCTAAAACTAAAAAATAGTAATATTCTGTTACTGAGATGGGAACAATTACACATAATTAATGTTATACCTTAAATCCCCTTTTTAAAAAACCCCACATCACTTTCTATTGGGGGAACGAAAATAACCACATTAATGTTATTAGAAACAAAACAAAATGTTGGTGGGTTAAGAGTTTTATAAATAAGTTTTCTCCTTTCACCAGCACATATTAAATAAAATCCCTATGACCAAAAAAATAGATTCTCTACTACAATAGGTTTAAATTTCATGAAAATTTAAATACAAGACAATTATAATTTCTTGACTAAAATGGGACCTATCCGTATTTTAAATATTTTTATTGATTGGTTTTAGAGAGAGTGTTGAAGAGGGGGAAAGAGACATCAATTTCTTGTTCCACCTATTTATACATTCATCGGTTGATTCTTTTTTTAATCCTTACCCAAGGAGATATATGTATATTTTTTAAATCGGGGACCGGGCTATAAATGGTTAGCCAGAAACACAAGGCATTTGTCATCATTGTGATAAGCTGCATAGACATAAAAAGAATTTTAAGTAAAATGGAATTCCAAGAGACCTTCATTCAACACACAAAAATGTGACAAAGAAGATTCATAAATCAAAGAAGCCATATATAGGAGTCAGAGACTTCTACTATATAAACAGTTGGCTAAGCAAATCGACCACATACAGGACAAGAGTAAACTGGTTAAACTTTCACATTTGGTGGATACATATTACTACTAAAAAATAGCTATTAACAGGAAGCTAATTTAACCCCCTTGAAAATATTAACCATGCATCCTTTCTCCAATGTCAATATGAAATTTTACTAATGCTGCTTAAATCAAAAACATTTAAGTCATAATGTTAATTGTTTACCGTAATAAATCCATATCCCTTGGATCGACCTGTTTCACTATCCATCATGAGCTGGATACTTTCAATCTAAAAAAAAATTTAAAAATTACATTAGTAAAATGGAGGGGGCAAAAATTTTTTCCCTTGAAACATGATTGAGTAATAATCTCCCTCTCCCCGACTACATAATAATTGAAAACATACCACAACCTCTATATCCCCAAAAACCTTCTGAAAGCCTAGCAACTTCCCAAACAAGAAGTCACGCAGTGAGCTGAAAAAAAATCCAACAATCTTAGTCTTTTGCCTCAAAAACAAGTAAAAACCAAAAGTTCTTTGTAAACTACCATCAGGAGTTAGAAATGAAATCAACATCTTTGTTTTTTTTCCATTATGCTAAAACCACCAAAAATAATTCTCAATATCAGACATGATAAACACCCCAAAAAGTTGGAATTTAAAAAGAACACTGGAGCCTGGCTGGGCATGGTTCAGGGACTGAGCATCAGCCTAGAATCCAGGAGATTGCAGTTCAATTCCTGGCCAGAACATATGCCGGGGTTGCGGGCTCAATCCCCAGTTGGAGGCGTGCAGGAGGCAGCCGATCAATGATGACTCTCTCATCATTGATGTTTCTCCTCTCCCTCCCTCCCTCCCTCCCCCTTCCTCTCTCTGAAAGCAATAAAGATGTATTTAAAAAAAATAAAATAAAAATAAATAAAATAAAAAGAACACTGGATATAGTTGATGACTGCACAACTCTGAATCTAATAAAAAGCAATTAATTGTTCACTTTAGATGGGCGAATTGTATGCTCTGTGAATTAGATCACAATATCCCAACATAGCTGTCCATACACAGAAAAGATGAAAAATTAAGATACAGCATATCGTATTTCTTCATGTTCTGGTGGCTTCAGGAATGTGTGTGTGTGTACACATACACAAATATATACATATATATATATATTTTTTAAATATATCTTTATTGATTTCAGAGAGAGGAAAGGAGAGGGAGAGAGATAGAAACATCAATGCTGAGAGTCATTGATGAAACCCACAACCCGGGCATGTGCCCTGACCAGGAATCGAACCCTGACTGCCTGGATCCTAGGTCGACGCTCAACCGCTGAGCCATGCCCGGCCGGGCAGGCATGTACTCATTTTATATTGACTGATCAACCCATACACTTATGACCTGTGTATCATTAGTATATGTGTATTATGAATAAAGCGCTCACAATCTCAACACCATAACTGTTCACCATTATTGATACTTTAAACAGTTTAACAGCCCTAGCCAGTTTGGCTTAGTAGTCAGAGTCAGCCTTCAGGCTGTAGGGTCCCAGGTTCGAGTCCAACCAAGGCCATGTACCTCAGTTGTAGGCTCAAGCCTCAGCCTGTTGAGGCATGTGTGGGAAGCAACCAATCTATCTGTCTCATATCAATTTCTCTCTCTCTCTCTCTCTCACACACACACACACACTCTCTCTCTCTCTCTCTGAAAGCAATGGGAAAAATATCCTCAGGTGAGGATGAAAAAACAAAACCACCAGTTTGACAAAGGGGTAAAGTGGGGTAATGAAAAAAAGTAATAACAATATATGCAAGAGCAATGAACATTACTAGTAGATAAGGTTCAGCAGGAAACAAGATTTTTATTCACGACCACGAAATGAAATCTTGTAAACCAGAGCACAGTCTACTTACTATTAACATTTATTCTGCAATAAAATGTCTATTCTAAAACAAGGACGAACTGGAGAGAAACAGAAACAGTCTAATTATTCTTTAGTTTAGTAGAGAAGCTTCTCTACATACCCCTAAATTTTCAGTAAGAAACTAAAGTATACAATGTACAAAAAAACAGTAAGAAAAAAACCCACTCTTGCTCCAAATGCATTTTATCATTCATGTTGATTTTTGAAAAATGATTGATTCTAATACTCACTATGCGTTTCACTGTATCATTACAAATAACAACGTATTAATAGTATCTAACGTCACATGGTATCTTCTTTCAGGCAATCTTAATTGAGTTGTCACAAAAACCTTGCAGAATCACCTCCCCTATCTTAACGTTTATTTTATAAAAACATGACAACAAAACAGATATACAAAAATTATTAGTTACATTTGAATCAAGAACCTATTGAAGAAATTGATCCTTTCAAGAAATTGGAACTTACCCTTCCAAAAGGCTCAAAGATCCCCCGAAGCATATCTTCAGTTATGTTAAAGTGTAATGAGCCCACATAAAGCCGCATAGGTCCAGCACTTCCCTTTTGTAGATTGTTTGCCATTGCCGCAGCTCTGTTTTTTTCTGCCTACAAGTTAGATTAAGTCAAAATGCGCATTACACAGAATACAAATTAGTAAAATGGTAAATCCCTCCTACACAGTTTGCAGAATAACTCATGTCAAAGACTAGTGACAAAATTAGGCTAAGCGTAATAGCCATACATAAAAGGACAAATATTGTATAATTCCACTAACTTGACTATGATTAATGGTACTAAATCAAACAAATTGTTAAAATGCCAAGTTTTTCAATACTGATGCATCCTGATATCAAACACACTAATGTGGAAAATAAGATTGTTTCCTGCAATTGTTAAAAACATTCATTATTCATTAAAATGAATAAAGCTCTGGCTGATGTGGCTTGGTTGGTTGGGCATCATCTCATGTACAAAGGGGTAGCCAGTTCCATTCCGTCAGGGCACATGCCCGGTTGTGGTCTCGGATCCCTAGTGGGAGAGGGTGCAGGAGGCAGTTTGGCCCTGGCCGGGCAGCTCAGTTGTTTAGATTGTTGTCCCAATAATGCCACCCAAGTTGTGGGTTTGATCCCTGGTCAGGGAACATACAAGAATCAACCAATAAATGCATCTAAGTGGAACAAATAGTTTCTCTCTCCCTCCCTCCTTCCCTCCCTTCTCCCTCCCTCTCTAAAGTCAATATATTTTAAGAGTAGTTTCTAAATAACTATTATTTCTAGTATTTTCTGAAAATAAGAGATTTCAAACTAGTTTAAGAATATTTTTGAAGATAATCCAAATTGTAATATAATTCCTCTTTGCTGATTCTCTACAGAATTGGCATTAATATTTTAGTTCATTTAAATGTGGAAAAATTAGCACATATTATGATTCATCAGGACCTACAGTCATGTTGTTTGCTTTTAAAACCACTGAAATACTCCGTAACTCCTAAGTAACCTGGTTACTTCATCTGACATATATAATATTAAGAAGTTATGCATAAGCTTTGTAACCAGATCTGATTTGAAATTCCAGTTTCACTGCTAACGAGTTTATATAACCATAATCAAATTACTAACTCTATGATCTCTAGGAGGTGATGATGTCCTATTTAATATTTTAGGAGTTCTTATTTAATATTGGGTATTTATTACTTGATTGTATGTAAATAGTTAAATAATTGGTCAGTTCACTTCCTGTGATGGAGGACAAACCTAATAGTGTGTAGACTGACCTGACACCAGGGCTGAGAACCATCAAACTAAATGAGGTTTTCAGTTCATTTAACTTTAACTTCCTATTGACCTAGATGAATAGGAAATTTGTTACAGGAAAAGATTTTGTGCTGAAATGTTAATTGGGAACTGATTTTGGTACTTGATTTGGAAAAAATGACAGCTGAACTGAGGTTTGATTTACACTGACATAAGCACCTTTATGACAGCATACTTTATTTTGAGTAACAGTGATATTGAGAGTACATTCTTTTTTAATAAAGGCTTTTTTTTTTTTTTAATCCTCACCCAAGGAATAAGGATATTTTTTTCCCATTGATTTTATTTTTTGGAGTGGAAGGGGGTGGGGGAGAGAAAGAGGAAACACTGATGTGAGACACATCCATTGGTTGCCTCCTGCATGCCCCCTATAGGGATAGAACTTGCAACCCAGATATGTACCCTTGTCCGGGAATTGAATCCCTGACCCTTTGGCTCATGGCCCAATGCTCTAACCACTGAGCAACACCGGCCAGAGCTAAAAAATGTTAAAGTTCTTAAAAATGTCACAATCCGCGTGCTCTCTCCCCCAAGAGGACGCCAATGCATTTCCCGCCCCCATCCCCACCCCACAAGCATGCATCTTCTAAACTCTTGCAACTAGGGGAGCAATGGGTAGCTGCAGCTCTCCCACGATAACATCCTGAACCTGTCTCCAAGGCCCCCTTTTTTCTAACTACTCAGTGAGCCAAAGCAGCCCCACCTGGCTCTTTCCTGTTGTTTCTTCTATCCCAAGCCCTTCCTTGTTTCACTGTAGCCAGCTTTAACAAACATACTCTCAAAAAAAGTATCATTCAATTTGAAAGATTGTAAGGGGAAAACATGTTCTTGAATGCTTAATCTACAACTAAGAGAAAAATCAATAAAATTCTAGACCAAACTCTTGTCTTTTTCACGAAATAAGTATGTACAACTTAAGGTAATAAGTGGTGATTATGTAAGGCACAAAGCAATACAGCACAACACTAAGCCAAGAGTGGGGTTTCATTACCATCAATGATCAAATTCTTAAGCAAGAAAAAAATTACCTGTGATGCCTGAACTATGATTGGCACTCCTAAAACACGTTGGCCAGTTAATCCTATTGCTAGAGGCACTGAGCTAACATCAACAAACTCCACATAAGCAATTCCCTTGGACCGTCTTGAATTTCTATCAGAAATCATCCTCACATCTCGAACCTAAGAAGAAAACACACAATACAATGTTGTTTGTGCAGCCATCCAATGTAAGCCATTATAAATAATAACTTGAAAAAGAGAGAAGAGGCACATTATTGATGCAGCCAAGGTAGAAGCCATTAAAACTTTATTAAATAAGTACATGTGTAGGCCAAATTTTATCTTCTATGTTTTGGTAAATAACACGGTAACATTTATCAACTCCAACATTTATTAACTTCCAAGCAAGATACAATAGAAATGCTACAAAAAATAAATTCTGTAATTAAATTCTAAGTCAAAAGGTTTGGTGTTCAGATGTCTTCCATTTTATGTCATATTGACAAATATTAAAATGTTTGCAATTTCCACTTATGTGACCTCCGCAAATAGGCTAAGATTACCTTTCCTACTGTAGAGAAAAACTCTTCCAAATCCCTTGGCCGAATTCGTGCTGCCAGCTGCATGCAGAAAACTGTCCTTGCATCTCTTTCCTCAGGAGTTAGATTATCAATAGGTTCCCTAACGGAGTAAGAGATACAGAAATTTATAACTTATTCTTTTAAAAGTACATTTTCAGTAAACAGAAATAACTTAATGAAACTAGTTTGTCACAATCCCCAAGCCTGATTTATAGAAAATGTCCATGAAGTAATTCAATGTGACTCAATTGCTTCAACAGGATGATAGTTTACTAAACGTTTCTTCTGATAATATTTTACATGGTATTAAGACAAAAGTCCACTGGCCTCTCAATCTCACAAATGGTAATTTCTCCATTTCTGTAGTCAACAGAAGCCTGAAAGTTTAGTAAGAGTAACAGGATATAAACCAGCTAGCCACATATAGGACTGATCCTAACTTAGTAGGAAGGATGATTCCCCACAATAAAACCATAAAACCGCAAAGTGAAATTTAGTTTGGTAAATACGAAAGATAAACTTAAAAGTAAAACAGAAAATAGCAAAACAACTAAGAATTTTATTTTATCTAACAAACTGAGATAGACATATGTAACAGTGAGGTGGTTGTATTAGAATTAGAATTGGGTTTTCCTAAGACTGCAAATTAGTATCCAAAGAAATGTTTCTGGATAAATATAGAATACAGACACAATAACTATAAGCAAATCAAAAATGAAAAGCAGTGCCCCTAGCCGGTTTGGCACAGTGGTTAGAGCATCAGTCCACGGACTAAAGTATCCTAGGTTTGAGTCCAGCCAAGGGCATGTAATCATGGTTGCAGGCTTGACTCTCCCCGGGCCAGGTCAAGGTGAGTGCGGGAAGCAACCAATCAATGTGTTTCTTTCTCTCTTCTCCCCTCCCCCTTCCACTCTCTCTAAAAAAGTAACAGAAAAAATATTCTCGAGGATTTAAAAAAAGGAAAAATTTAAAGCAGGAAATTATCTAGACAAATATCAATAATGGGATTCAATTTACTCACTATTAAAAAAGCCTTACACTTCTCAATTTAAAGAACTAAAGTGCCCAAATAAAAGAGAAAATTATAAGAGCACAATAGAGGAAATTTAATTTTATAAATTTTAAGGAAAATAAAAGTATCTTTTAACGTTATTGATTATAGCCCTAGCTGGTTTGGCTCAGTGGTTAGTGTCCACCAGGTTCAATTCCAGCCAAGAGAATGCACCTTGGCTAGGGGCTCGATCCCTGGCCTTAGTTGGGGCCCATATGGCAACCAATCAATGTCTCTCTCTCTCACATTGAAGTTTCTATATATCTCTGTCCCTTCCACTCTCTCTGAAAAGCAATGGAAAAAAATATCCTCAGGTGAAGGTTTTAAAAAAAAACCACCTTTTTCTTTAAAAAAAAAAAAAAAGCACATTGATTGTAAAATATCACTATATGGTTAAGGTTCTAAGTGAATCCTTCATGATATAGGCATAAACACGCTCTTATCCACGTTTTGAGCATTTTCAGGAATACTTTTTAAATACTCCTTACAAAATTCTGGTACATCCTCCCCCTCTGAGAAATCAGCAAGTGATTTAAAACATATTACTGCAAAACAGAGGTACAAAGCTGGATTAAAGCCAGAGAAAGAGAACTAAAAAGGAAAATTTCTCATATAAAGCTAAATTAAAGAGTTAAAAACCTCAATATCTGTTACAAAGAGAGCTTTAAAAATTAAGGTATTTTCCAAATCCTGGAATAATCAGAATATACCAAATAATGGGATAAATCAAAGCTAAAAGGTGCCCTGGAAGGGAAGCCAGAACACTGGTAAAAAACAATGCTACCACATAAAAAAATGTTGCTTGACAGAACGGTAAATGGACAGGCTTATGTGTTTATTTAAAAGGAAAGAAAGCCATAGAAACACTCAGGAACAGAAGACTACTACTTAAAAACCAGTAAACTTGGTTAAGACTTTGGAAATTAAATTATTCTCAGGCAAGAACAAAATGATAAAACTCATGACTATTATAACCACTTTCCCTGAGGTGATTTCAATAACTCAAACTTATCAATTTCAAAGGTCAGTGAGTCAAGTCCATTTAAAGATATCTATAGCTACCATTAAGAGATGTTTAATATAAAAAAGATTACATATAGTATCTACACATTAAAATAATAACTATTGCCTCATTTTCTTTTTTAATCCTCACTCGAGGATCTTTTCTCCATTGCTTTAGGGTGGGGTAGGGTGGGGAGGGGTGGGGTGAGTGGGGAGAAACATCAATGTGAGAGACAAATCGACTGGTTGCCTCCCACACATGCCCCAACGGGGGCCAGGAATTGAGCCTGCAACCAAGGTATGTGCCCTTGACCTGAATCAGACCTGGGACCCTTCAGGCCACAGGCCAATGCTCTAACCACTGAGCCAAACTAGCTAGGGCTGCTTCACTCTTAGTTACAGGAAATTAAAATGAAAGCTATTGAAAATTTAGAAATACATTAACAGTACTAGTACTACAAAAGGGCATTTAATACGGTCCAATTTAATGTCATTAAATTTAGCAGCAGCATAAGATCGCAAAAGCTTTATAAAAGCTAGAAGTTCTAAAGAAATAAATAGTGACAACAGCTACCTCACAGGGCTCTTGTCTTTTCTGAATGGACTTTTGCTTCGGGAACGTCGTCTGCTGCAAAGTTAAAAGTTTCAGAAGTTACCCAAACAAGTACACCACATTAGTTCCTTGAAAAACAATTTAAACAATTCAGAAGTATGTTTAAAAACCTTAATTTGACGCTATGAGGCAACCCAATCTTTCCTCGGATGGCACTGTTAAATTTTGGTCCGGAGCTAAAAAGGAAACACAAAATTACACTAGTTACAGGTTTAGGGTCTTGCTAAGATCACGTTCATGTGCTCTCCAGCAAGTTTAACATTGTTTAGGCTGCTTCTTTTCCACCTCAAATATGAAGAGGAAATAGACTTTTTTTTTTTTTTAACTCTATCCCAGGCAAACTGTTCTTACAGTTATCCATCCTGGACCACTGAGAGGTGCCAAGACCAAAGGTTATAGCCTCAAAATTTTTAAAATCCTGAAAATGCTCACTCCTATTTTTAGGCTATAGTTTTTTAAAAATTACACATTTATGAGTACATTCCTGAGGTTTAAAAAAAACACAAAGTGAAAATAAATCATCCTTATTTTTCTCACAACAGAAGTAACTATGGTTAACAATTTGGTGTGCATCTCTGCACATCCTTTGTCAGGAAGATACATGTGTTTACACATATGTACATATACAATATTCATGTTTTCTTGAGAAACTTGCTTTAAAAAATGAGACTAATTCTTTACATAATTATGAAGTCCAATTTTCCATTTAATAGCAAGTCTCAGAGACTGCATAAAAACACATATAGCACATCATACTTCACTTCCTTGTGGCAAAACATTCCATAGTAAAGATGTGAAGGAAGTTCTTCAAAAAAATTCTTTTTTGAGGACTTGACTTAAAGGAGTGTTTTCAGAAAGAACAAAAAGGGCAACTATTATAAGAAAAACACCACAAAAGAGAAAAAAAGGCAACTATTATAAAATACAGTTTTACTCTGTATCCTAAATAACTCTAAAAAGGCCCAGTAATTTTGGGGCCTTTTCTTTTGAAAGACCAAACTACATTAGAGACAGTCAGATGTCCCTTAGTGCTCATCCTGTTGTTCTTTTCCAGAAGGGTAACAAAATGAAGTAACTAGTGGTCTGCAACCCACCATTTGGATTTGTTTTCATGAACTCTACATGTTCCTAACAACATCCAAGAGTTCTAAATACATTTTTTATTAAATGGGTCCTTTCAAATTCAAACTAATAATTGTAAGTATACATTTACTGAATTAAAGTTCAAATAAGAACGTATAAATATTTTCTTCTCCCTTTAATTATAATAGTCCCAGTTTTTGCCTCTACAGTTAAAAGTCACCTGAAACCAAATGTAAGAACTAAATCACTTTTAAGTCAGACCAGGATCACCAGCTGACTTCAAGCATTATCACTCAACAGAGAAAATAGTATATAGAATTTATTAAGGTAATCCTTTTTCCTCCCATTTAGTTCATTCTGGTAAAAAAAAAAAAAAAAAGGAATGCAGTAAACTTTGATAAACTGGATAAAAAGCTAAATGAAGTGTTTTCTATTTGGAATAAAAAAAACATTGTGGTCCCTTTTAAGCTCTTAAAAAGTTACAAAATAAGCAGGTAAGGGGAACTTAAAAAACAAGGAGTTCAATTCTTTTCATTTTAAAGATTTAAGAACCAGTATCATAACTCAAAGTGATACTAACTTTAATGGCTTCAATCACCAAAAACATTTCATGAATAGCAGTATCATGGGTGCTTTATTTACATTCTCTTCAATGCTCATTAATAGTTTTTGTGAATTGTTACGCCTTTCTTAAAAGTTGAGAAAACTAAAGCTTGGTGTTAACTTGCCCAAGTGGCAGAGCAAGGCTCTGATTTATAGATGTCTTTGAATTCTACTTGCAACATTTCAAGTTTTAAAATCAGAAATGTTAATTTTAATATACTCCGGTTTACAACAGTATCTTTATTAAGAGGAAAGTACTAAGGACTGCTAGATTCAATCCTTGCTTAAAGTTCTTTGTAGGCTCTTACCAGTTATTTATAGTTGAGGTGATTTTTTAATGAATGTAATGAAACTTTGTAACTTAAATAACCACATCCAACTTTCCATAGTGATTTAACCCTCAAAGCACATTTAGTGCTTTATTTTAAAAAACCTTAAATACAATGTGTGATGAACCCCCAAAATCATCACTATCCAGGAGCATACACCAAATTCACAAAAGATCTGTCATTTCAGCAGTAAATAGCCACACAGACAAGGTTACTGTTAACTAATTACATACTTGACTAATCTTGACTAATTGTAACTTGTATCCACCTGAGCTTTAAACTCTAAACTAAATTTATGTTCAGTAAATGTTCACCTTTAAGCTTTCAAGTATTTGGGACTATGTATCAAATCTTTTTTTAAAGCACTCTAGTACTTTAGACTAGCATACAGTTAAGATAATTTTATATGGAATAACAAAATAATCTGTATGCCTAGAGTAAAACCAAAGTTATGTATTTGTCCACAGTTTTCCGCTTGATTTGTCTTTTCAATGCCAATATCCTTATTTAATACTTTTTAACAAACCACATTGAAAAGTAAAATTTCACAGTTCAAATCATTCAGGTTAAATGGCTATCTGGATACTTAGCAAATGACTATCAAACCAAAATCATCATAATAATAGTTACATACTAAGGACTCCTATAACGGCCTCTGAATCTGCGATCTCGACTTCTTGAGCGGCTGCGTCTCCTTTCTTTGCTTCTACTTCGCTTCCTTTCACGGCTTTTGCTCTTTTTCCTTTCTCTATCTCTGCTTCGCTTCCGTTCCTTACTTTTGCTTCTTTTTCGTTCATGACTACGACTTCTGCTCTTGCTTTTTTTCCTCCTGAGAAGAAAAAAAGTCACCATTATCTTGCTGGTTTAAGAATTTGCCAAAATATACTTCCTTTTATGGTCAGAATTTATCTTTTTGTAAATTTGTTTTGCTACTTTTACTATCATACAATTATACATAATCATACTTATGAAAAAATTATTCCTAGGTAAGGCAAACACCACCCAACTTTTGCCTTCTACTACTGAAAATCAGTAGTTGACAATCATTTGAGAGAGCAGAGACGATAATGATCTTGAGAGTCACCTACAGCTCTAACAAGGACGTGTTGGTAAGTATAGATCAAAACCTGAACTTTTTAAATAAAATTTGACCATCTTATAACTGGCCATCAGGTATTTCTGTAATCCACAGGATACAGTAATAAATCAAAGTTATAATAGAATATATTAACATTTAAGTATTAATACTGTACCGTACATAAAAATTTTCATTAAATACACTAGTTTCCTTTATCCAATTTTGACCCAATTTACACATGTAAAGATTTTATACTTTCAATAGACAATACAAACATCAATATTTTGGTTTTCATGAGGAAAATTACAAGTAATGACAAAGGACAGTAAAACTAAAGCAGTAAAATGCATTCTGACACTGCTAGACTTTATTGTAACCATTTCATATACTTTTTTTTAAAGTTACGAGTATACCGGAAAATGGAGTATGCCATTTTTATGCCAGTTTATACAAGCCTGTGGGGTGCAATAAAAAACAACAATCAACATCTATTTATATATATCTTTAAAAAATTTTAAACTCTGAAAGGTAAAAAAGCCAGTCAGTCATATCTTTGTTCATTTCTGTATTCTTCACAGCATACCACTCACTCATTTCATAGTTAAATCTTACAATCTGTACCTCTGTGCCATCACCCAAATTTTAGAGGTGCCTTCAGATATTTCAATATAAATTGAAAGACATTTCAAAAAACTTATTCCACTAAAATGTCAATTTGTAGTGGCTAAAAGATTGAACATTTTGACAACTCTACATCATTTGGAAATTTCATTTAACTGTTTAGTCCTTATCAAAGCAAAGTTAGCACAAGAGCAATTGAAGTCTGCCTCAGAGAACCTGTAAGCAGGTCATCTTAGAGTGCATTGAAAATAGAAAATGAAGACACCCACCTTCTGGAATCTTGAAACCCACACTCCAATCACAAGGAGATGTAGAGCTTTCCAAGGAGGCAGAAACTTTGTCTAAAATTTCAAGATAATCCACCTGACTGTCAGAAATGTATATGCTAGGTAGCACATGACAGAAAATTAGGCTACACTCATTATTTATATAGAAGTCATCAAAGCAATGCCCAGAAGGGCAACAGATAACATTCCAACTTTGTTGCCTGAAAAACCTGACACTCTCTCTTAAAGAATTCTGTGCAATAGTTATAATTGAAAGTCCTGAATATAACCAATTAGGGGACAAAGTAAAAAAATAACTCCATCTCCCACAAATAAGACAAAGTTTTGCTCTGCTCATAGATGGCCCTGAGCAGAGAGGCAGCCAACCTCCCTATTTACCTCTTTTTAGGCCCAAAATTTATTTACCAAAGGAAACGACTCAAAAATTGGAGAGCTAATTTCAACTTAAGGCCTTCCTAAGACTTTTAATAAATGAGTCCCCACCCACATCTGAAGGCAACCCCAGAAAGGTAAAAAGACAGCAACCTAGTAAGACATTCAGAATATACAGTCCTCTGCGTAAGAGCCCAGACAAAAATTTAAGGGTGCAAGAAAGCAGTATACTTCTCTATAACAAATTGCGGCTTCAAAGAACATTAGGTTAACTAAAGAAGGGTTATAAAAATCCATACTAATAGTCAAATCCTGTTACAACTTAAATGGGACTTTCCAAAGTCTTTAGTGGCAGTGGAATTTTGTACTGAACATCATTGAAGTAAATGGTCCACTGGGCTGGGCCTTTGGACTTTTTGGTTATATGGCCTCTGCTGTAAAGGTGTTTTGCTATAACTGGATTTGACCTCTTCCATGTAAGAAGATCTAAATTTTAAATGCAAAGTACTCTGGAAAATAAGAAAAAAAATAGAAAAGTCATTTATTCCAAAATTTATAGATAATCCACACCAAAGTAGCTAATATATTTCAACTGTGTCATTTTGTTGTTATCCTTTTTTGACTAATTCCTAAAGAGCTAAACTGAATGAATGCTGATTTAGACTTTGCAAAACTGGTTACACTAACAAATAACATTCCCATGAAGGCAAGCTCCAGTACTTGATATCTTGCCAAACTCAGGGGTATATAGCTCTTTTCAAAGTAGGGTAATTGAGAACCAATTTGTGTTATATTAAACTTAGTTCCTTTTACTATCAGAATACAATTGAGTGTATGTATTGAGAATCAGGTTTAGTATTTTTAATAAGCATTTTGTACTTTCTTACTACCTTAAAACTATATCCTGACACTCAATGACTTTTAAGACGATGTTTTAGGATGAAAAATGCAACGTGGCACCTTCCTTTGGTTGAGACTTAACTTACACTAAAAACTAAAGCACATAACATTTTACTTGCTTTATATTGTATCCACCCCTAAACACAAAAATTTTCTTCTAGGTAACTTTGAAATTAATTCAAAAGATTAATTCCCTTCAAAAAACGGGTGAAGGTTCCTGACTGAATAAGGGAGCCATTTATTTAACCAGCTATGCATAATTAAGGATGAGAAGTCTGACAGAAAAATAATTTGTACATTTATAAAAAGATATTAGAGGGTAGTTGGGAGTGTTTTAGTTTTTCCCCTTAAAGAAGATCCAAAATGGTCAATTACAGAAAACTGTCCATTCTATTTAGTCTCATAAGACTTTTTACATTAGGTAAAAAGGCCACTAAGCAAGCATCAGTCATTGAGTCCTTGTAAAAGCTTGGTAGCCTTAATGAGCTTAGACACAGGATGAAAACAAGTAAAGCTGGAGATGATTTAGCAGCAAGGAGCCTGACACCTGAGAATGGAACCACAAAGGTCTGCACCCCAATGTGCATCCTCACCCTTACCAGTGGGCGCTTTTCTCACCACTAGGCCAGTACCCAGACTGGATCATTTCAGTCATTTTTATGAATACCCCTTTCTAAGTTGTCTTTGGATTACACAATTGAAATTTAAAACCACCAATTAGGAAAGTTTCTTTAGTAAAAGTCTAAAACCAGATGACATTAAACCATGCAATGACTGGTTCACTGCCTCACACAAAACAATTCCAGACTAAACCCAACCTAATACTCATAATCTACTGTGGTTAGTGAGGAACTAACAACAGACTCCCAACCAGAAAAAATGCAGGACGTTCATTACATTTTACATCATTTTTAACCCATTACTACATTATCTTAGGGAAATTATAATTAAAAAAATGTTGGTGTGCCAAAGCCTGAATAATCCCATCTGACAATTTTTTTCATCTTTTTATGAAATTTTATCAACCTACCTAACAAAGCTGTTGTGAGGATATTGAGGTAGTGCATTATAAAGCACTTTAAGCTCTTAGGAGAAAAAGAGCCAAAAAGAACCAAGTAAGTGGATATTTACCATCAATTTTCATTATGTATCAAGGGGTCATGAACATGACAAAATGTTTTAATACACCACAAATATAGGCTAATTAACAAAACAATTTAATGTTTGTAACATCACCAATTTTAGAACTGAAAGGTAACTCCAAAAATAGGATCCAATCTTATAAAGTAGGTCTTATACTGTTACTTAGAATTTTGTATACTGTATATTCTGTACTAGTCTGTAGCACTGAGTTACTATTCTGGGTTACACATTAACTCAAATAACTTGTATCATTCAATTTTTAAAAATTCCATTATCACTATTAAGTCTACTAGAGTTTATAAAGCTCAAGACAACAAAAGCTATGTAAGAGGAACATAAATGTGCTACAGCATTATGACAAAAAGGGTTTTAATCAGCAAGGAGCTTAAATAATTCATAGCTCTGACTTGCATTCAGGAATTTGGAACAAACAATACCTTCCCTGGCCTGACTATTACCTTTCCTTCTTCCTAACCCATCTTCAGTGGATATGTTAGTTTAAGTGATAACATCACTAAACATTAAGCCAAAGTTAATAAACTAAAACAAAAGACAAGCTCTAAAACAACTCTCATCCAAACTGTCATGGATGGACTTGGAGGGGAACGTGTCCAAAAAGGTCCCTGAAACCATATTCTGAAATCTAGGGAAAGAGTCCATAGTTTTATATCCTCAAATAGTTTTTCATCCCAAAAACTAAAGAATCACTTTTCTAAAAGAGGCAAAGAAAAGCTTCCGAAGAGAATCTTAGTTTGGTGCTTTAGCCACAGGAACACAACTTTAATAAGATCCCAAACACATAAAGTTGCCCCACCCCAGGTCCCTTCTTAAAACTTACTTTTTGCTACGTTCTTCATGTCCATTAGCACTGCTCAACTTGTTCTCATCCTAAGCAGGGTTGATAGAAGAACATCATGAGGACGAAGTGGTAACATTTCAAGTTGTCAAAGGGTAAAGGGAACAGGAATAAGAAAATACAAAACAATTTTAAAACTAATTACTTATTCATATTTTAACATGGAAGGCTATAAAAAAATTTAGATGGGTATGTGTTTAACCACTTTGTTGCTTACAATTAAGTCATCAAGGTACAAAAATAAAAATACATAAACATGTTAAACTTTACTTTCTTATATAGTTAGATATTAAGTTATCCAGATTTACAGTGCTGAAGTGGTTACATAGAATTTCTTTAAAACGTGAAGTCCTGTTTTGAGTTTTATTCCATGTTCTATGGTCCCTTTGGTCAGTACCATGGCTCTATTTCTGCCTAAGCCCCAAGTGGCCATGCTAGCAGCCAGCCACTATCGATTTCCTGTGACCGATGCCATTCCTGAGATCTTCGCCCATTTCCGTTGGAGGGTTGGGACTGTAAGAGCTTGATGCCACCTCTGTCACACATCTCGCCCTGAAGCAAACAGGGATTCACACTGCTTTAGTAATGTTGACTCTCAAGAACCCAAGAAAGTCAATTAATAATCCACCAGTCCAACCTAAACATTTCCTACTTCCATACCTGTTTACATGGAATTACATCCATGTTAAACTACGACACAAGAATCTTAACATTAAAACAGAAAGTTCTTCAAGAGTCTTAAGCATTACAAAACAGGTACACTATTTAAAGCTATAAAGAATTCATCCAAATTGGTACCACATGGTCGTGCTATACACTCAAAACAAATGTATTATTTTTAAAAGGTTTAGTGCAATGTTTATTTTAAAGTTTGATCACATGAGTTAATGGAGTATAACTAACTTACAAAGCTTACAGTTTATGACACCAGTGATAATGCATGCATACTGCTACTTTCACCACCAACTGGTGAAAGAATGAAAAGACACTTTATTTTTACTGTGATACTGAAATGGGTCAAAGACTATTATTATTAGCCAAAATAATTCCTTTGTAGTTTTTTAGTGTGAAATATGGCAGGGACTAATTAAAAATAAAACAATATGGAGAACAGTAAAACAGTCATCAAGTGACTCTAAGTTGTGATACTGCCTCTTTTGCTTTTAAATTTTGTTTTCTATTCAGGGATCCAAGAATTTTAGTAATTTTAACTGAGCAGCAGATCATCACCTGCCTGTTTTAATATTTTACTATCACCAGTCTTTTACATATATATAGAAAAAATTTTAAATCTCACCCATTTCTTCTTGTAAGACTTAAAAAGAATGCTTGCCACAGACTGGTTATACTTTGTGATTCTTGGACCCCTGCTATTTTCCCAAACCACTACATTCACCTTTTTGCTATACCAAACTGGAGCTGGTAATTCTTAGTTGAGTCATTTTACCTAGGGGACCACGGTACAGCGATAAGTCACTCAATTACTACCTTATGATTGACAGTTCACACTGGAATCAAAGGTGAATTCATGGGAGTAGAGGTGAGATATCGTTAGGCAAGTCTACAAAGAGAGATAGATGGGCATTTATTCATCACGCTGAAGTGAAACTACTGCACAATATTATTACATCAATAGCATATATTTACTTTTGTAAGTTATACGTAATGCATCTCTGATAAGATAAATCAAGAGGGCTCCGGGGAGGTTAGTTTACATTTCAGCAGTAGTTTCGTGAATAATGCTAAATTAAGAAATATATAAACCTCACCAACATGTTTTTTCTCACCTTCTTGTAAGGAGCCTCAAGCATTGCTTCAATATCAATATCGTCTGCCATTTTCTCTAAACGCCTATGAAAACAATAAGGTAATTCTATGAGTAAATATTCTTCAATTCTTCTCTATTTATTACTCGAATACTCCAAAACTTCAGGAAAACCTTTTCAAAAGCCCAGGCATGATTAAAGTACTGCGACGCACTTTACAAGGCTTGGCAATTAAATTTGAAATGCCTCTAAGGCAGAGAACGTGAAAATAGATTAAATGTTCCACTTTAAAAAGCCTGCAATGAACTCCAAAAACAGAGCCCGGGAGCCTCGAGCGAGAGGGCCTCCTTCCGCGCAAAACCCGCGCTGCCATTTTAGAGGCGGGGAACGGCCTGGGTTGGGAGGGGTTGTGTGCCAAGGCAGTGTTCGGCTGGCGCCATGTTGGGAGGTCGCGGCTGGCCCAGGCCTCCCAGGGACAGGTCGCCATCTGCCCGAGGGCTCTCTGGGGTTCGTGCCATCCAAGAACCCTGAAACCTACCCGACCGGAAAGAAGGGCGCGGTCCCCAAAATGGGGCCGATTTCTCGAAAACCTGCCCTACCCCCATCGCTAACAACCGCCTAAAAGGAGTGTCCCTCAACCCAGAAAAGAACCAAACCTCAAGAAAATCTCTGAAAATACTCGAGTCCGCAACATCTCCTTACCTGTGCGGGCTTCCGGGCCCCTGTGGTGCTCGTATTCGGAAAGAGGAGAGCTGCTGCAGCTGCCGCCGCCGCTGTTGCTACAGTTAAGCCTCTAGGCCCGGGCCGCGGTACCGCCCAGCCCGAATTTCGGGCTCCGAGGGCGGATAGGCCCGAGCGAATCTAAAAGAAACAATGGGATTAGAGAAGCCCGCGCGGGAGTGCAGGACCGAGGCTTCGGCAGCTCAGGATCCAACCCTGCGACAGCGTCCGCAGACTCCCTGAAATGGCGGCCGCTGCTTCCCCGTACTCACATTCACTAACACACATATACACACACACAAACACACGGGGCCTCCAAGAGCCCGCGGCACGGGCTCTCGCGAGAAGCTATCTCTATTTCCAGACTGGAGAGGCCGAAGTATCGCGAGATCTAAGAATGGGGCCCCAGCGACCATGGCCCAATCTCGCGCAATGATTGCGCCACAGATATTCCCATCCCCCTTTCAGAGAGGCGCGTTTGACTCCTCCCTCTGGATCGACGTATACACCTCGCGAGACCGCGCAAGTAGCTAGAGCAAAGGCAGTTGGTACGCTTACTGTCATTCTTTTAGAAAACTCAACGTTGAGTGGAACTCGGTTGTCGCCACCTCCGCGTGGCGCCTCCTTACAGCTATCTGAAGGTTTTATCCTCAGAGCCAACCGCCCCCACCGTCCTCGCGGCCTCCCACCCAAATGTCTGTCAAGGTCGTCATGAGGCAGCCTGTCCATATAGCGATAGAGTAAGACTGAGTCCTGGCGATTGCCCGCCGAGGGTGAAGGCGGCGTGGAAAACACATGAGGAGCGCGAGGAGAGACCGTGCACAGGCGGCGCGTGAGGGGCTGTAGAGTAAAACACGCCCAGCCCGTTCGGAGCCAGTGGACGAGGCTCTGCCTCTGCTGTCCAGCTTCCAAACCCTCTTGGAGGTAGCGGGGAGAGGCGAAGAGGGGAAGAAACAAACCGCGTCCCTGGAAAGTGGGTCAGCTTTGTGCCCCCCGAATTTACAGTCTGCCTTGTGTGGGGGTTGTCATTGTTTCTTCAGAGATGTCCCCCGTTCTCCTGGGTCTCGGCTCCTCGCCCCCGAAGTCTCCCAGATGCAGAGCAGTTAAGAGTATAAATTAACCACTTGTTCTTTGGTCCATACTGCGAAAAAGAAGGGAGCGGAGAGAGGAAATGTTTGGAAAAGTATTAGAAAGATGACATACAATAAGAAATCTTACATCGCTAGCCGGCTTGGCCGAGCGGTTAGGGCGCGGCCTGAAGGGCCCCGGGGTCCAGTCCTGGTCAAGGGCACTACCTGGTGGCAGGTTCGACCCCAGGCTGTGGGAGGCAACCAACGGCTGTGTCTCTCACCTGGAC